GACGGAGGAGCGCATCCTTTTGTCCTAGGGTGAATCGTTGATCATCCTGATCTTCAAGAAGGGATCACGCGATGACTGCGCTAACCACCGTGGGATAAGTTAGTTCCGATAAACACAAAAGTGCTGACTTCTGTGATACTTCGCCGCCTGACACCCTTAAGGGAGAGGGATATCCGCGAACAACGAGCCGGATTCCGACCAGGTCGCGGTTGCATCAACCAAATCTTCACTCTGTGTGAATTGCTCGAACTGCGTCACACACATCGTCGGCCAATAATCGCCGTGTTCCTTGGCCTAAAAGGAGTCTTCGATTCAGTTTTCCGAGAAGCTCTCCTGGGGTGGCTGCTCCGCAAAGGAATGTCGCGGAAGTATGTAAACCCATTGCGGTCGTTTTACCTGCGGCAAAAGGGTGAGCTAAGTAAATCATTCGAAACGAGGAGCGGTGTCCGTCAAGGGTTGAATTTCGTCGTAGACGAAGTACTGCAGAACGCACTTACTGGTCTCCAGAACGTATGTATTGAATGGGCAGCTGGAGAAAAGCTGTGCAACTTGGAGTACGCTGACGACATCGTATGCCTGTTCGAATCTATGGACGATGCGCAATCGGCTCTTGACAGACTAGCAAGTTCTGTATCTCCTTTGGCGTGCGCTTTGCACCAACAAAGTGCAAAGTGATGCTACAAGACTGGATGTCGTCTACCCCAGCGCTGATGCTTGATGGTCAAGAATTAGATGTAGTGGAATGTTTCACCTACTTAGTTAGCTGCGTTTCAAATGACGGTAGCATAGTGAGTGAAGTAACCGCCCGCATTCCCAAGGCCCGAGCAGCTTACACAGGATTGAAACACCTTTGGTGCAGACGCGATGCTTCGTTGAAGCTGAAAGCTCGCGTATACTGCGCCAGTGTGCGGTCAGTTCTGCTCCATAGTTGCGAGACTCCAAGTTTGTGCGTGGAAGATATTCGTCGTCTTGAAGTATTCGATTGCAGATGTTTACGTAGTTTGGTGCGGGTTGGATAGAGTGAGCTTGTAAGCAATTCTGAGGTGGGGCGTCGCGTATTTGGTAATGATTCGATGGAGAATTTGTTGTCTTGTTGAATTCAGATCAGTCGGCTTTACTGGTTAGAACACGTATTGCGCATATCCAGCCATCGTCTGCCGCACCGCGCCTACGCTACAGTTTTTCGACACCGTTGCGTTCTGGAATTTATCTACCCAAATTACTGAATATGCGTGCTTCAACCATATACACAAGGGAATTCATGTTGAAAATTAAGGATGTTATTGTGAAAAACCATATTGCCATGTTTGGAGTGCCAGTTGCTAGTAAAGCGCATAAATACTGCAAACGTGGAAAACGCATTCGTGCCGTTTGGCAGACTGCCTTTGATCCTACTACCCCCAGCAAGATGACCGTACCTACCATTGTGAGTAACAATGTCCGTTGTGCATTTGGGACAGGATAGACAACGGTGTAGGAAGAAGTTGGGAGGCGGTGTAATTATCTACATCAATTCCAATTGATGCGACAACTCTGAAGTACTTTTCAAGTATTCACAGAATGGCAGTGATTGCTTAACTGTCTTCTATCACCCCAAATTCTCCCGTTTTTTCTTATATCGCCATCACTAGTTTATACATTGCACCCCAGTGTAGATTGTCAGACATTGACACATTTTATGATAATTTCCTATCGGTTATTGCCCCATCTCTTGCTGATAGCTTGCGTTCAATAGCTGACTTTAACCACGCACCCCTGCACCCTTGGTTGAGTCTAAACCTTAGTGACCTGATCATTGAACCTATTGGAGGAAACTCTAATCTAGACAACATAATCACAAACCACGTTGACACCTTCTGCACCAAACAGTTCTTCCCCTTAGGCATCAGTAAGTACAACCTGATCCTCGTCAGACCTAAGATTTACTCACACTCAGGACATTTTCTTTTACTCGACCCCAACACATCATGTTCCGTCAGCTAGATCTTTCCCCAGACAATATTACCTTGCTCAGATAGTCTCTCAAGGTAGTTGCCGATTGATTTTCTTTAAACACCACCTGCTTGTCAAATATGACATCTCTAACAGAAGTCTTAAACTGTGTTTTGACATATGTTGTCCTTTGATAACTTTGTTCCCTCAACATGGCAGAATATCAACACCTTTTCTTAAACGTCTTTGCCGTGAAAAGGAACATGCATTTAAATGCGGCAGGAGGGCAGAGATGCGACGATTGTCGTTTCTGATCTAGAGTGAAATAAGACGGTTGAACATCCTTTATGCAAGTCAGTTTTTCGGGAAGAGGACCTGTAAGTCTATGTGGCGTGGAATCAATCTACTCTGTAGGCAGAAGAAAGTGATTTCCAGTCCCACTTTTGATATTCAAAAACTGAATGCTGAATTTATTCCTTCTTCGTCCGACACATACCCCAGTTAAGTTGATTCTAGTTCTCCAAACACCCAACCTTCGTCTGATCCCATCACCTCTAGTGAGATGTATAAACACATGTGTTCTCTCAAGGTGTCCACCGCACCTGGTCCAGACAACTTAAGTCCCACCCTCCTTAAACACGGTGTCCTGCCACTGTCTCAGATTTTTGCACACATAGCTAATCTTTAACTCCGAACAATTCCGGAATTCTGGCGCCTAGTGAGAAGTACTTCCATCCCCAAAGGAACGTCTAGGGCCCCAATAGCGAAGCGCTTCAGACCAATTGCTCTCATTTCTATTGGTTTGAAATTGATGGAGCGATCAGTTCCGCACCGTCTTCAGTTATCTCTTACCACCCCCGATGACACTTATCAGTTCGCATACAAACATAACCGCTGTACATTAGATGTCGTTTCTTCTCTATTTCATTTCATCTGTAAGTCCCTTAACGAGAAAGTCAAATATGTGCATTTCTGGTCTATTCTTCCGCTTTCGACTCTGTGCTCCCTTCTCTATTACTAAACAAGCTCCAATCTTTTGGTTGTCCCACTGCTCTTCTTGAATGGCTTGCTGATATCAGTATGCTAAATCGGGAAGAAGACAGTCGACCGCATCACTCGACAGCTCGAGTGTACTTCAAGGTGGTATCCTATCATCCTATTTTTTCGACTTATACCAGTGACTTACCTATTACGCCCAATGTTTCACATTTTAAGTATGCTGATGATATCTTTATTTATCTTCCCGTATCTAACCAATCAGAACTGGCTGAATATAACACAAACTTATCCCACCTGGTGGTGGTGGTGGAGCAGTGGTTTAGTCGTTGTCACCGGCGTGCTTTGGACCCTGCGGTTCGAGGTTCGAGCCCCGCCACCGCCACCTGACTTTG